CCCAGCATCTCACTCTAGGCTTTGGGTACATGTAGATACAAGCCATAACACAAACAAAGCCCCAAATTAGTACAAGGAAGAAATAAATAACAAAGACTAGAGCAGAGTTATATGAAATAGAGACTTTAAAAAAATACAAAAGGTTAATGAAACAAAGAGCTAGTTCTTCCAAAAAATAGACAAAATTAACAAACCCTTAAACAAAAAGACTGAAAATTAGAGATGAAAACAGACATGACAGTTGATATTACAGGAATACAAGGGTTTATTAACAATTATTATGAAGAGCTGTGTATCAATAAATTTCCTAGAAGAAAGGGACAAATTCCTGGATGGATACACTTTACCAAGATTGAGTCAGAGCACACACCAAAAGAAGAGACCAAAAATAAGTAAGTAGTTTGAAACTAATAATTTAAAAAATCTTCCACTGATGAAAAACCAGGACCAGATGACTTCACTGTTGAATTCTACCAAACATTTAAAGAAACTGGATGTGATGGTGCATGCCTGTAATCCCATCACTTGGGAGGCTGAGGCAGAATGATTGCCCTGAATTTGAGGCCAGCCTTAGTTACTTGGTGAGATCAAGGCCAGCCCAAATCACTGAACCTAGTGAGGCCCTGTCTCAATTAATTAAGTTTTTAAAACCAAAAATATAAAAAATAAAGAACTAAGATTGATTCTACGTAATTTATTCTAAAAACATTGGGGAGGAAGGAATCCTCCAAGCTCTTTTACAATACTAGCATTACCTTGTTACTAGAACTAGACAAGGACACAACAAAAAAGACAGTTATAGGCCACTGTCCTTGATGAACCCTAGATGCAAAATTTCTTAAGACTAGCAAAGCCAATCCAATAGCACATTAAAAGAGTATTCACTATCAGCATATGAGATTTCATCCCAGAGGTACAAGGATGGCTCAGAATATGCAGATAAAAACATGATGTAACACGGCAACAGAATAAAGGATAAAAAATTATCTTCATAAGTACAGAAAAGGCATTTGATAAAATTTGTCCTTTTATGATAAAATTCTAAACAAGTTAGACTTAGGAGCACACCTCAACATTGTAAAGGACATCCATATTTGTGTGCACACATACACAGTAAGTCAGTGGTTTATCCCGGTGTGGTGGCACATGCCTATAATTCCAGCACTCAGTCTAGGGCAAGAAGAACATGAATTCAAGGCCAGCCTGGGCAGCATAAAAAGTTCAAGGCTGCTCTGGACCATTCTGTGTGAGACCCAGTATCCAAAAACAAAACAAAACAAAAACATACCAACATAAAAATAAGCCAACGGTTAACATACTACTGAGTGCACAAGGGTTGAAAACTTTCTCTAAGATCTAGAAGAGCACAGTACACAGCGATACTTAATTTATCATAGTAAGCAGATCATTGAGGAAAGAGAAAGAGAGGACAGGAAGCCAACGTGGAAAAGAGGGAGTCAGATTGTCACTGTATGCACATAGACATGATTTGGAACTAATGAGCTACGTCAGTAATGTTTCAGAATACAAAATCAACATAAAAATATCAGAAGCTTTTTATATATACTAATAGCAAATGACCTGAACTAAAAATTGAGGAAATAATCCCATTTATAATACATGTCTAGAAATAAATTTAACCAAAGAGATGAAAATTTGTGAAAGGATAAAAGAAAATAGAAACCTGATGTTTGTGGATTGGAAGACTCCTCAATATTGTTAAAATGTACTTACTACCCAAAGTAAATCTCCAGATTCAGTACAATTTCTTTCAAACTACCAATGAGATTGTACACAGAAATGAAAGAAAAATTATAAAATTTGCATGAAAGCACAAAAACCCCAAATAGCCAAAGCCAACTTGAGCAGAAAGAACAATGCAAGAAGCATTATAATCCTGACTTAAAGTACATTACAAAGATGCAGTAATCAACATAGTGTTGGCATTAAAACACACACATAGATCAATCAAACCAAGCAGAATAAGGCAGGAAGTAAACCCATACGTTACCGTCAATGATTCTCAACAATGATTCTCAGAACACGCATTGGAGAAAGGCAGTCTTTTCAATACAGCTGGGGAAATTGGATCTTCATATATAGATAGAACAGTCGGCTAAAAATAGGTTGAAGACTTACATATGAGACTTGAAGCTGTGTGATTACTAGGGAAAGGGCTTCAGGACATAAAAATTGTGAACAAAGTTTTTGGACAAGATCCCAAAAGCATGGGAAACAAAAGGAAAAATAGACAAATTAATCCCATCGAACTTAAAAGATGCTGTACCAGGTTTGGGGGTGCACACCTGTAATCCCAGTACTTGGGAAGCTGAGGCAGAAGGATTGCCTTGACTTCAAGGGCTGCCTGGGCTACATAGTTCAAGCATAGCCTGATCTACACAGCAAGACCCTGACTCAAATAAAAATAAAATAAATAAAAAGCTGCTGCTTAGCAAAGGCTACACAGAATAGGAAAATTATTCACAAACTACTTCTGACAAACTGATTGCTATCTAAAATTTATAGGGAACTAAAAAATCTCAATAGCAAATACAAAATAAAACCAAACCACACCTGTGCACACACACACACACACCCCAATTTTGAAATGGGCAGTAGATCTAAGACATTTCTCAAAAGAAGACATGCAAATATATGAAATTATATGAAAGATACATGAAATAAAATGTTCAACATACATGAAATAAAATGTTCAACATCAGTTATCAGGAAAATGCAAATTAAAATCCCAGTGAAATGTCTGAATTTAAGAAGAATGGCTATTCTCAAAAAGACAAATAGTGATTGCTAGTGATGATATAGAGTAAAGGCAACCCTTACACCTACGGGTGGGAAGCCATATGGAGCTTTTATGGGAAATAGTAACGGAAGTTTGGAATTTAAAAATTAAAAGTAGAAGGCCTGGCATGGTGGCTCACGCCTATAATCCCAGCACTCAGGAGGCTGAGGCAGGAGGATCGCTGTGAGTTTGAGAGCAGCCTGGTATACATAGTAAGTTCCAGGGCAGTCTCAACTACATAGTGAGACCCTGTCTCAAAAACCAAAAAATAAAAAATAAAATAGCTACCATATGACCCAGCAGTCCCATTTCCAGTATATATCTAAAGGAAATGAAGTAAGATAGCTATACTATTATGTTTATTACAGCAGTACTCACAGTAACCAAGAAATTGGCACAACCAGGGTGTCCATCAATTCATGAATAAAGAAGTGGTTTATATATGCCATCAGTTAAAAAAATAAATTGTAAAAATTTTTTTAAAAATATTGGTGAGTACAATTTGTGGATAAATTGGAATTCTTGTTCTCTAATGAGATATACAGTGATTTTAACCACCTTGGAAATTTTCTAAAAAAATTAAACATATTATTGTATGATCCAGTGATGTGCTTCTAGTTATAACCCAGAGGAATAGAGAGCAGAGTCCAGAAGAAGTATATGTCCACTCCTCTCTTACATAGCAGCTTATTCATAGTAGTCAGAAGATAAAGCAGCCATGTTGCCATGGCCAGATAAATAAGTAAGCAAGATGTGGTATGTAGGTACTGTGGCACGTTATTCACCCTTGAAAATGAATAAAATCCCAGTATATACTAAAACATGCATGAACCTTGAGGCTACTGTGCTGTGTATAATTTTCCATGCACAGAAGACAAATACTGTGACTTCATTTCTATGATATACTTCGAGTAGATGGCTTATGCTGTTACCCAGGAGATGGCCAAGAATTAGATTCCATGCTCCTTGGCAAGTCATGTTGAGGATTTTGCTTTGGATCCTGTGATGCCGTTATCAGTGGACCAGAAAGTTCTCTTAGCTCCGTGCCACTGACTTTCATGTGACTTCCTCTGGTAGAATGTTGTGTAGTGCATCCACCTCATGGAGCAGAACAGCAAGTTTATACCAGCCTGAATGAAGGGTGTGGTGTTTTATATTATCTTCCATCTATATAACCCTCACTTCAAAGTTTTGCATATTTCTTCCTCCTGGAGAATGGTTAATGGAAAGATAGGATAAATGGGCAGTTTTGTGGACTGTGAAATGTTGAGTTTCACTTGAATAAAAAGTGTGGCATTAACAAGGGTCATATTTGTGTATTTTGACAAGTCTACATTAAACTTTTTACAGAACACAAATGCAAGTCATTTGTTAAAATGTTGCACTCCTTATAAATACTGTATAAATGAAATTCTTCAGTCTCATCACAGTTTTCATCAGCTCCTTGAGTACATACAGATATCTGGGTTACATGGTTTATATCTGTGTTCTCGATACCAAGCAGCATTGTCCCCTGAGTTCTCAGACCTCTCTTTACTGCACTGATCAGCATCATTGTTTACAGTGTATGTAGATTTCGCAGTACTTCCTTCTGGATCTCCTGTTTAGTGCTACAGTGCAAGGCTGAGGAAAAAAAAAAAAAAACTAGAGAGAACAACCAGTGCTGGTGCAACTAGGTCAGTCTAAGCCACTGATTTTTATTGGTAATCAGTTGGGGTAAAGGCTGAACTGCATACTAAAGGGGAACTGTGTGCAAGGATGTGCAGTCATGCAGTTACTATGGATGCTAATGCAGGCATGTAAAGGACAAGACAAAGCATTCAGGAATTAGGAACAGAGTAGACAAAATACAGGGTTGTAATTAGAACCTTGTCCTTCTAGTTAAGAAGGTTTTAATTGTGGAGGCAGAATTTGGGTGCAAGTTATTCTGACCTCAGCACGTAGGCTTCAGCAGGACTCACTTCTCAAACCAAGCCAATTAAGGAATTAACTCTTTACAGCTTGCACTGCTTACAGCCTACTTTGGGCATAATCAGTATTGTGTTTCCCTACAGACATTAGATTCTGTTCTGAAGTCATTTTCCAGTGACTACATTTGACATACAGATTTACACTCCTGGTTTATTCTGACAGAGGAGCTTATGAAGCAATGCAGTGTTATACTAAAGGGTTTCAGATCATTGCCTGCCTTGCCTTGCAGGGGGAACGCAGCGATTACCACGTGCCATCGGAATGTCCCTGGCCAAGGAACTTATTTTCTCAGCACGAGTGCTTGATGGCCAAGAAGCCAAAGCTGTGGGTCTGGTTAGCCACGTGCTAGAGCAGAACCAGGAGGGCGATGCTGCCTACAGAAAGGCCCTGGACCTAGCAAGAGAGTTTCTACCTCAGGTACCGCTAACCGGAGCTCCTTCGTTTCATATCCTACACAATGTCAAAGTATAGTCTCACATACCGGTGGTGTTTTTGGCAGGCCTGCCAAGCAACAAAATGCATGGTAGTTGTAAAACTAGGCATAATATACTGGCTTAACATTATGATCCTTCAGAATTAAAATTAAGATTTGAGGATAATCTGAAGGCCCTACTATAGCTACATCTTGAATATTTTTACAAGAACGATGTTTAGCACATGTGACAGAGAATTGTTCTCAACAGAGTGGTAGGTGGGTTGTTACACTGGACCGTCCCTGAGTCCAAATACGTCAGCATACACTATTTCTGAAGGAGACTGTAGTCTCTTATGCCTACCTTGGCCTTTCCCTGCCATGGCTCTGCGTGAGGTGGCCTGCTCGGGAAGGGGCAGCTGCATATTACATCGCATGTGTATTTATGGTGGTTTCATCAATGTTTTCATTCCTCCTTCATCATACTCTTTGAAAGTCTGGAACACACCACAAGTGCTCAAGCATGGCTGTGCCTGAGTGGCACTAACAATAGTGCATTCATAGCTCTGTTTTAAGAATTCTGAGTCATTCAGGTGTGTTTTTCAAACATTCCTTTGGTCTCAAATCAGAGAGTAAGGATTTTACCTTAAGAGGGGGAGTTTCCTTTTGCAACTAATGATAATCCCTTTAACCCTAACAGAGCTTAAAGTTTTATGGCTCCCTTGGCTAACCATTTCTGAAGTCAAAATATGTTCTTCTCAGTTACTAACCCGAAACAGGATTCATAACCTGTTTGGGGGCCATAAATCCTTTAAGAAATATCATGAAATCTCCAGAAAAGGTGCATATGCCCCACATTTATTCAGTTTTCTACCTGGTTTGAGAAGGTGTTCTTGGCCCTCAGCATGAGCAACTTGCTGTCAGAGCAAGGCCCTGCTTGGCTGTGGCACACTTGTCCTGAGAGTTGTTGGGTGGGGCCACACCAAGGACATGAGTCTAAAACCATGCTGCTGGCTGCTGAGGTTGCTCTGCTTCTTGGTAGCTCCGGAGCTGATGTCTCTACCAGCGCAGTCCCTTCTGCAGTTTTCTTTCCATACAAAAGAACTTCAGCCTTGGACTCTCTCGAGGCTGAGTGCTTATTGAATTGATGGGCGGAAAGCAGATAGAAAGATGTGTACTCCCTTTGAAAAAAGAGGGTATTTCTCAAATATATTAGGATAATATCCACCTACAGAGAGATAAAGTTACAAGTGTCAGGGAAAGTAGTAGTTTAACTACATATTGGTTTAATGACTTCCCTTGGCTTCAAACTTTATGATAGAACATATTTCCATTGAAATCAAGGGGTACGTTTCAGAGAGGATGTGGCACCCTCTACTTCTGATTATCCATGAGTGTTCGGCTCCATGCTCCAGAGCTCCATCCACGTGGGAGGCGCTTTGCTGCCTGACGTCCAGTTTACACTCTCCTCCATGATCTTCTGTGCAGTTTATGCTCTCACTGTCCACATCCCCTGCCTGAGAACATCAGCACTGTCCTCCTTCTGCCTCCTCCTCTCCCATTTCCAGTCTGCCACTGAGCACTTCTTAGCGTTTTGGACAGGCTTCATTACCCTTCATCTGAAGGACACTCCCGGGAGCATTCATGGTTAAAATTAATATTTCTCCATGTCACACAAATGTATCAGAAATATAGAATGACTTCAGAAAATGTGTGAGTTGGGAAAACTGTATACACCCATGTGTTAGTTACTTTTCTCATTGTTGAGACAAAATACCTGACACCCAACGTTAAAAGGGAAAGGTTTATTTAGCTCACAGTTTGTTGAGGTTTCAGACCACAGGTGACTTCAAGGCAGAATAGGAGAGGGGCAGCAGTTCATGGTGTAGGAAGGAAGCAAAAGCCACAAAGGGATCTTAACAGCATCTTTCTGGCAGACTACCAGGATTAGGGCAATACTAAACCAATCAGTGTACTAGTTTAGTAACCATAGTAAACCTTAATCCTGTCATCACACACACACAATTCAGCAGCCTCTGAAAAAGCCACCTATGACCAACTGTATGAGGCCGTGGGGGACCTCAAGACCCAAACTGTAACCAGTTACCAAAGGAAATTTAAATGGAAGAACCTTTTATTTTTATGTTTGTTTCTTTACTGAGTAACTCTTCCAAATAATTAAAAAGCTCATATAAAGTTAGTATTTATATAGAATTTAGATAGGTTAAACGATAAGAAGATCTGTAGACAGGAAAAACTGGCATTTTAATGCACTCATCCATTTCTCCATTTGTAAGAGTCTTCGGTGTACCTGTATTTTAGAACCTATCATACATTTTTATTCAAGAGACCAATTTAAAAAGATGTCATTGATTTCCTCTTTACTACCTGTGAGCAGAATTTCAGAAATTAGAATGATATTGAGGTATTAAATTCCATCTAGAGAAGAGGGCTTTCTCCAGGACACTTTGCTGAGAGTTTAGCTTCTGTAAGGCAGAGTTGTCCTTCTCATACCAGGTACCCTGTTCTCTCTGTGATGTGGAAGCCCTGCCCTTAGGACATCTGTGTAATCCACCAGCATCATGGTTAGTTATTGCTGCCAAAGGAGGAGAGATGCAGAGTCAGGTCTGACATGGATAGTCCTGGACCTCACCTTAGTCAGTGGTGCCAGCCCCATCTGATGATAACCACTACTTCATGGTACTGAGCCACAGACTTCCTGTTCTTCTCTCCCTTAGAGGAAGATTCACTACAGAATGTTACACCTTCGCCTGCACAGGCACTGTCTGATGCTTCTTGGATCTAGAGTGGTGATAGTGAACCATTTAAAGATCAAGTGCCAAACTGCAACTCAAAAGCCACTTATTTATCACAAAATGCTAGCACTGCAGTTAAACCGGAATACTGAGGTTTTAGTTTAGAAACAACTCATGAATTAACATCTTGTCTTAAAAGAAAAACAGTAGCCGGGCATGGTGACACACACCTCTAATCCCAGCACTCGGGAGGCTGAGGCAGGAGGATCGCTATAAGTTTGAGACCAGCCTACATAATGAGTTCCAGGTCAGTCTCAACTATATAGTGAGACCCTGTCTCAAAAAACAGTAACATGTATGCTATAGGTTCTCCACCAGTAATCTAGAGTTTACTGTATAACAGAACCCTGTAACATCTAAAGTTCACTGATGCAATTCATTTGTCACAGATGCTGTTTGAGACCTTGCAAAACTAGAAAAGCAATTTTTCATATAGCATCTTACACTGCTGACTGCCATGGATCCAGTCATGCGAAGTTTTGAATTATTCTGAGATGTACAACATAACTTACATAAACAATAAAATTTGTTTCTTTAATTTGAATTTCAGGGACCTGTTGCAGTGCGAGTGGCAAAATTAGCAATTAATCAAGGGATGGAGGTAAGTTCCGTAATGCTCAAGTTTGTGTGTGTGTGTGTGTGTGTGTGTGTGTTTTGAGACAGGGTCTCACTAGTTAGTTGAGACTGACCTGGAACTCACTTTGTAGCCGAGGCTGGTCTCGAACTCACAGTGATCCTCCTGCCTCAGCCTCCCAAGTGCTGGGATTACAGGCATGCGACACCACGCCCAGCCGTAATGCTCCAGTTTGTTGTTAGAATGTAGTGGAAATTTAATCTAAGCACACCATGTTTAGACTTCTGTCTTATTTTTAAGCCCTAAAATATAGGTGTTTGAATCCAACTATGACTGAAGCCTCTGAGATTCTTTTCATGTGCATCATTAATTTTGTTTTGCTTATTGGTTATTGCTGATTCAGTATCATAGTCACAGAATTCAGAAGTGCATCATTGCCCTGCAGCTTATGACATGTTTCTTATCTTTGCCATTAAGATGGATTCATTGGCTAATCGTTCCTAGAAAACATCATACATATATACATACATACATACATACATACATAAATACATCGCTTTGCATATGTTCTCACTGTCACGGTCACACTATAAAAGCAGTCCAAGGAAAACTTGCCAGCTCCACTCCGTGTCCAGCTATCTTCACCTTTAACTTCTCAGTGTGCTCTTGCGAAGAGAAGCACAAAGTAGGTGAATCTGTAGGGCATTTTGTGTCCCCGAGAGAGTGGGGCCCTGGGTCAGGGGCAGAACGCACTCATGTATCTTGGATCTCTAGTGGTTCTGCAATGAAAACTGTTACATTTTGTTTAAATTAGAGAACTTTGAAGAAAGTTGCTTTCTTTTTTATTATATGTGCTGCTGAGGCAAGCACAGAAGTTGCTTTCCTGTTGAAGTCATACAAGCTTCTATATCTTCCTTGACTTTATGCCAGTAAAGTGAGATTGAATTTGTTAGTTATAATATAGCATTATAAACTTGCAAATATTTTATTGGATTATTTCAGTCCTTTTATAGTAGTAACAGTATTAATAACAACACTGTGTATAGCCTTTACTTTGTGCTGGCTTTATGTATATCTATCTATTAGAGGCTTTATAAAGGTTTCACCCAGATTAACTCCTTTAATCCACACAATGTCATTCCCCCATTCAGTGAGTAATACAATTAGTTCATTGTTCAGACACTCCTTTCCGAAGCACAGAGAGGTTAAATAGCTTGCCCAAGTGGTAGGATCAGAATGTGAACCCAGGAAGGCTGGTTCATGGTCTCAAAGCTGTTCATACTTCTGATCAGGTGTACTGCATTGAAGGAATCTATTTTTGGAATAGGACTGTTAGACTTGAATTTATATTAAATATACCGTCATTTAAAAAGTTATTTCTGCTGGAATGAATTCTTTTTATTTTCAGGTTGACTTGGTAACAGGATTAGCCATAGAAGAAGCTTGTTATGCTCAGGTATGTATGTATACAGTCACAAGATCAGCAAGGATGTACCCTTCCAAATCCTGTGTACCTTCTGTGTAATTCAAAGGAAGTATGTATCACTGAGGAAGATTACCATCATCCCCATCCCCAAATCACACAAATAAGTTAACATTAGTTTTTTCTGCCAAGTTCACTATTGTTAGCTTGTGTAACTGATACTGTTCTGTAGACTGATGACTCTTAGTCCATAATTTAGAAAACTCAAAATAACTAAGTTAGTCCCATTTATGCCATCGCTGAATGTGTAGGCTTATGCTGTCATTTAGAGGTGTGGGCTTGGCTCTTCCCTCCTGAATAGAGAGGTGGGACAGGGGGTGGATGTGTGCCTTTCATGCATCAGTGGTACTTGAGACTCATTGGCTTTTCTAAAGTTCTGATGCTTTTCTTCTGACCACTGAAAGTTCACTAGTAAAGTGAAGTGATACTTTTCTTTTTTACATACAGCTGAGTTCTTTTCTTCCAAAAAGAAAATGCTTCTCACTTCCTCAAAAGATCTAAAATAGCTACTTTTGTTCTACTTTTCCCGAGAATGGAAATTACATCAGACCCTATTTAAATGTCACCCTTAATTATAGAAGCAATATCTAGAATATCTGTATCTATTTTGTTTATATAAGTAACCTGTTGTTGATGAGTAAATGCCATGATTTAATTAAATTAGGAATGTCCTCAGGCTCAAAAAGCAAAAGTACACATACACACATACTTAAAACACATTTGAGCAAACATTTAAGGAAGAAAACCCATTTCTCCATAATCTCTTCCAGAAAGTAGATGCAGAATAAGGTAAACTCCTAACTTACTCTATGAGGCCAGCATTATCCCAATACCTAAACCAGAGGAAGACATTATTAGAAAAGAAAATTAAAGAAAATGTCTCTCCTGAATGTGGGGCAAAAAAACTTTTTTTTTGGGGGGGGCGCTACCAGGGATTGAACTCAGGTCCTTGTGCTTATGAGGCAGGTGGTGGAACCACTGGACTAAATCCCCAGCCCTTTTTTTTCCCCAGAAAAACTCAATGAAAAATAATAAATTGAGTCTAATAAAGTATAAAAAGATTTAAATTCCCAACCAATTTGCATTTGAAAATCATCCCATGGAATCTATCACAAACATGCTAAAGAAAATATTACATGATCTTATGAGTAAATGCAAAAAAAAAGCATTTGATACAATTCCCATTTATGATAAAAGCTCTTCACAAACTATGAATGTATTAGAATTTCTTCAAGGTGATATGAACATCTATAATAAAACCTGGTGACATCATACTTAGTTGATCAGGTAAAACTAGACAAGCCAGGAACAAGGCCAGGATGTACTCTCTTGATGTGCCCTTTTGACATCAGATGGGAGTCCTTAGCCAATGCAGTAAGACAAAAAATAAAAATTACAAAATAAAAAATGTACATATTGAGAAGTAAGATTGTCAAACTGGGAAATCCCAAAGACAGTAAAAAACCTCTTTAGCAATTGCAGCAAGATTATGTGAAGGAAAGTGAATATGTAAAAGTCCTTTGCTTTCCTAAATATCAGCAATAAAAAATTGGAATTGGAAATTTAAAAATACACCACCATTTATATTAGCACTCAAAAAATGAAAAACTTAGGTGGAAATCTAACAAGACAAGATCTCTATGAAAAAATTATGGAGCTCTGGTGAAAGAAAGTACAGAGACTCAGGAGAGCCAGAACAGTACTGCCAGAAACAAAATTTGGGGGCTGACATTACCTGACCCTAAGGATTGCCACAGAGCTACAGAAATCTAGACATTGAGGTACTGGTGAATGAATAAATAGATCAAGGAACAGAACCAGAAGCACATTTGCAGACTCACACAAATATAGACAAGTTATATTTTGACAAAAGAGCCAAGGCACCTTAGTGGAGAAAGGACAGTCTTAAAGACAAATCATGATGGAACATGTGGACAGTGACGTACATGAAAGTGGTCTAGACACCTTATACTTTTCTCAAACTGTAACTCAAGATGAATCAGAAACTAAATATATGGTGAATAGCTGTAAATTTCACAGAAGATAATGTAGAGAAAAAGCTCAGTGAGTTTGGAGTTGACTTTTTAGGTACAATGTCAGAAGTACAAACCATAAAATAAAAAATTAATGGCTCTATTAAAGTTAACAATTTCTGCTTGTAAAAAAATACAGCTGAAGGAGTGAAGAGACATGGACTGAGAGAAAAATCTTTTCAGGACACATCTGAAAAGGTCTCATGTCCAAATATACAAAGAACTTTCAGACTCAGCAATGGGAAAGTAACCCAATTAAAAATGGATCAAAGATTTAAATAGGTACCAAAGTAGATAAATAGATGGCAAGTAATCATATAAATTATGTCAAACATAATTGTTAAAGAAATTGCAAATTAACTATTTTGAGATGCCATTTACAACCATTAAAATGACATAAATCCAAAACTGAATGCACCAAGTACTTATGAGGATATGGAGTTTATAGAAACTGATTCACTGCTATCAGGAATATAAAATGATTTGGACTACTTTTCTAAGACACTTTCACAGTTTCTTGTAAAACTCATTACACTGTCACCATATGATCCAACAGTCATGCTCTTTGCTATTTATCCAAATAAGTTGAAAACATATATCCACACAAAACCCTGCTAATCATCTTTATTTACAATGGCCAAAATCTGGAAGCCATCATGATGTCCTTAAGCAAGTGAATGGATTGACTGTGGTACACCTATTCAGTGGAATATTATAAAGCAATATAAAAGTTACTATTATGTGTCATGATATGAAGCAACCTTTAATATGTATTGCTAAGTTGAATTCAATTTAAGAAGACCAGGAACTCTTGATTCTAAATTAGTGATCTGAAAAAGGCAAAAAAAACTATAGAGAGAGTTTTGAGAAACAGGTCAGGGATAAACAGGATGTGCAATTTAGTGAGATGGTTCTGTATAATACTGTAATGGAGAGTACATGCCATGTATTTGTTAAAACCTGTAGAAAGTGCAACACAACAGTGAACTGTAATAGAAACTGGATTTTAGTTAATAATAGTGTATCATTATTGGCTCATCCTTTGTAACAAGTATGCCACACAGACACAGGATGTTATTTTAAAGTATATTTGAAATGAAAGAAACATTTGGAATAAGGGTAATGAATTTAGTCAAATAATGAGAATTATTCAGATAACAGATTTCAAGATTTTAGAATGAGCATCTTATTACTTTTCATAGGTAATGCTTGACAGCTTTTTATCATTGTGTTTTTAATTTTTGGTGTACAATGTTTTGTTTTTCTTAGACCATTCCAACAAAAGACAGACTTGAAGGTCTTCTTGCTTTTAAAGAGAAGAGGCCCCCTCGCTATAAAGGAGAATAGAAGCTGCAGAAATTCTTACAGTACCACTGTAATAAGTGTACTTCTGGAAGTGTCTTTCAGATCTGCTCTTTGCCTCAGCTTATGGGATCTCTGTGACCAAAGTGAAGAGTGAGCTACTCACCATGTCTGTGAAGGAAGCTTCTGGAGCCAACCCATCTTCACGCTGATGTGTATCATGTCTTTTCATCCAGATGTATAAAGCTAGTAGCTCTACCATCAAAAACAGGTTAAAATTAGGTATATGTTTGTAAATATTTCCTGCATATGAGGCTTTCCATTCTTAATTTTTTAATGTGAATAATTTATATATTGCACACTCTAGGGAATAATACAGGTTGTATATCTACTGTGCTGTGTTAAAAAAAATAAAATTATTTCTGAATACCAAAAATGTGAAGTTATACCAAATAAAGTTTCAGACTTATTACATAGGAACACACACATACACATACATCATCAAACTGAAAAAAAATGAATTGATAAGATACTCTGGGTAAAAACTACCTAATACAAATAAAATTAGTGAAAAAGAAATCTTGGGAACTTTTCTCTTATCGTTTTTTTTTTTTTAACAATAAATCATTACATGTTGGACTTTGGAAGAAATTTTCCCATGGTGATTACATGAGGCAACCTCCTCACATTGTCCTAGAACACAGTATTTATGGTGTAGTGTTAATCCAGTCAGAGATAAGAGCCAAAGAGCTTGTGAAGCCCACAGCAGTCCATACGGTCATACTGCTAAGGCCTCCTTCCAGTGTGTGCCTGGCCCTCTAGCGTTAAGAGTCCTGGCCAGCTGACAGGAGAAAAGTGGTGCCTACAGTATTGAACCCCTGAGATGGCTTGGGGTAATGGACTGTTCTCTACTTTTTGGCCTTAGTTGGTGCATGTGGCAGCCCATTCTCTTCCAATAGACACAAGATGCCTTCCTGTAGCAGGGCAAATTAGGAGTGCCCCAGAGGCCTGAGTGTCCATAGCCACAGGATGGGAAGACACACAGATAAAGAGGTATGTGAAAAATGGGAACTGTGGAATTTACTTGTCATTTTTTTTTCACTTTTCTTTGCATATGCTTTATGAATGCAGACTGCCTTCTGTGGCGGTACCCATTTCTGACCCTGGCCATGCTAGGAGCAAGACTTGCCCTTGGTGTATCTGTTGGCCTAGACAGACCCCTCTGCAATCCAGATGCTTCCCACATACGCCTTCCTCCACTGTCTTCATACCCCCGCACCGTCTTCAGTTCTGTTTTAAAAGCATAGACTTAATTCTTAAAAGCCTAAAGTTTTTAGCATTTCATTTGGGAAGTTGAACTCCTGTAATTCTAAAGTTTTGTAAGAGACAAAGGTGGACAGGCCAGTTTCTGTTTCTCCTGACAGAGATGAGTGGCCATCTTTACCAAGGTGTGCACACCACGATGAGGGCTATTTTCTTACCACCTTAGCTGCTGAGACTGCAGATTTATGATGAAAGCTCAGCTGATCACCGTAACATAAAAGGAGCTTATTAAAATTTACTTTGAGCTCTCCAGCAATTATATCTGATAGTGTGCACTCTTGTTTACTGATAAAGTTGCTAAGCTGTTCATTTCATATATGACAATTTCCAAAAATGTAGTAGTGCCTGACTTGATAGGCCTGTGAAAGTTCCAGGGCTATTTTGTCCCATTCATGGCATGGTAAAATGCCACTTCCATTTTAACAGTAGGAGATAATTGGAATTGTGGGAAAAGGGTTATGAGAGTGTGCTGAGTGACTGTCTTTCCTAACTTGGACTCACAGGCCAGTCTGTTGTTGCTGACTGACCACTGTTTAGCTTCCTAACAAGTTCTCGTTAAGCCATGGAACTGTGTATGAAAATAAAAGTCCTATGGTGATGTTAGATATTACAGGCTTCATATAGCAAGAGGAAAGTGAGTTTTTGTAGAAAGTGTAGTTTTTGTAGTCTTGCTGGTGAGTTCTGCTATGCACCCCAAGCCTGGGAGATGGGGTGGGGGCGTGGCATGCTTCTCAGTTGCTCCAGTGAAGTATGGGTCCTTCCTCTGAATCCTGTCAGTCCTGGAGCTAGAGATAAGTTGATGCGTTGGGTGTGCTGGATGTAAACATATGTTCCGATTAGGTTAAAGAAGGTTCAGAAGGGGAGGTGGATAGATCAAGCACAATCGTAATTCGGGAGGTGAAATCAAAGTGGAGAGGAAAAGTATTTAGATTATGAGATCTAGTGGCTGTAGTTCAGTACTGGCCAATTTATAACTTACCTACAAATGAAAAAGCTCTCCGGATGACATGTTCTCAGGTGAAAGAATTCTATTAGCAAAAGAGTCTGCTTTTCTGTGGTTCATTTCTGTGATTTAAAGCATCATTTTAAGTTTTCTGTAATAATGGATCTGGGTGTCCCATCAGTCAAGGCTACCTTCTCTCTCTCTCAGCTATCACAGTCGGCCTGTCCAAAGTATTGCTTTGCCAGCAGTGCTTAGGAAGGTGCTTTGTACTTGAGCCTAGATAGTGGACTATCCATTCTTGGATACAGTACTTAGAGAAAAGATAGGTTTTCATAGAGGCTGGTTGCTGGCTGACTGTTGGCCCTTTTCCACCTGTGGTGATGTGCCCTACATTTGCTCCTATGGGATCCAGAGATCCTGGCTGTAGACTTTTTTTTTTTTATTTTTAATAATCTGACCTTTATTTGTCTACCATCCTAGTTAAATATTAACTGGTATTTATGTCTGTTCATTGGGCTTTATCAATAGCAATAGAGATTATTTTTCTCATGGGCTACTAAAGAGTTGTGTCATAAAAGAAAAAAAGCATTTTGATTATTAAGAACCATTTCTTTAAGTGAATCTGTACATGTGATTTGAGTAATTTGGTGGGTGTGTCTCAGGTGTAAAAATCACTCTTTGAAATATCTTTCTTTGAATTTTCATAGTCTTCTTTGGGAACTTCCAAAAACTGAGCTATCCCTTAATAGCATAATACCTATTCTCAGACATTTTAGGCAGAGTTTGCTTTTCAAAATAATTCTCAGAGCAGCATGAGAAAACCAGGGTCCTAGTGGGGGAAATTAAGGAAGTAAAGGATTACACACCATGGCCATGAACAGCCTGGGCACTTGTCCTCAGTATTCAGTGCATCAGGCACTTCCTGGGTCCTCCAGGGAGGCTGGCCCTTTCTCGGTAGGTAGCTTTGCACAGCGAAGGTTTCCTTTTAAGGTCCTAACAGAGGAGTGTTCAGCTGGCAGTGTGGCTCAGTGGTAGAGCTTGTCTTTTGCATGCATGAAGTCCTAGGTACTGCAAGTCTTGGTACTGCAAAACATAAGAAAACACAGTATTATGTATTTTTAAGAGGTGGCTTGACACGATCACTGAACATAACCTGAATGAGCTGAGCGAATAGAGACTGGTTATTGTGACAGTAATGATCTTGTGAAGCCCTTTTTTCCTAGCAGGTGCTTTGCAGGGATTTTTACTTACTGTCCACAACCTCCCTGAAAAGATACATGCTGTGTTTCTTCCCATGAGGACTAGAGCCTAGAGAGCTTGCTTGCTTGAGCCCCTTAGCAGGGATGGGGTGGAGTAGGGATTGAACCCACAGCTATTGACTTTCATCACTAAACCTTGAAAACACCCAAACAGTGACATCACCAGAGGCTGTGATAGGTGTGTTTCTGTCAGCCAGTGTCCTTTGACCTGGTTTGTCAGTGATTATCTTGTGACTTGGAGAGATAAGGAAAATTTGCTTATCACATGGTCTGGTGACATAGAAGCAGATAGGGTGGCAATCAGAAAGCACCCCTCAGCACTTCCTCAGTATGAGGTACTGTACATGTATTCACTCATGCTCACCAAGACCTTAAGAGATATCTTTATTGATTACTAATTTAAGAAATGGAGGCAGAAAGCGGGATTCGCATTGGGCATTCTGTGTCCAGGGCCCCATCTGTATTCAGTGATGACACCATGGAGTTTAAGGAACGGTCTTGATGAGCATGAGGGGTGTATCAGCAAGATGCTGTAGTGATCGTTTGATGCCTTACATCTCACTGTGCCCCAACATGCACCATTAGAGTGCATATACCATGATTTGATAGCAATACTTATCAAGAGGGAGCCAGGGTGAGCTCAGTGTGGGTCAAGACTCACATGCCTTTAGGGAACAGTCACAAGCATGTCTCCAGGTCATGAGGCACGAAGTAGCCAAGAAAACATAGAAAGAAAAGGCCTAATGTAGACCAAATTTCTGAGTTAAAGCCACCTTCTGAGTTAAACATTAACCAGAATAGCCTGGTCTAAATACAATGGGAAAAAGTAGCTAGGTAACCCAGCTCATACACCACAAGTGTAGGCATGCATCCAGTGGTCTTCACACCTCTTAGCTGGCATCAGCCCTAATCACCATGTCATTGACAATGCAGTTTTGATACTTTCACTCAGTGGTCCACCACCATCCACTGGAGGGGCAGAGCCAAGCCTATCTTTGGCAGTAGCAAAATCTCATTCCAACTGCTGTCAGGTAGTTCCTTTAGAAATAGCTTGCCAATTTAAAGCATTCCAGGACCAGGGATTTGGCTTAGTGTCCACCACCTGCCTCACAAGTGTAAGGGCCTGAGTTCGATTCCTGGTGCCAAATATATATATTCCAGGTCCTTCTTGCCTTAAACAGAGAATTGGATGAAACAAGCCTAAAATAGTGCCAAAAATATTTTTGAAAAGTGAGGTGAAGGGATAAAGGAAGAGCTAGCTCTATAGAGTGAACTTGGGCTGAACAAAAGAGGAAAGGATAAAAGCAAAAATAAAAGTGCACTGCCCTGGAGATGCAGAGTAGGCTACTGTGGGCTTCTTGTAGGTCTGTGTCCTTAGACATCCATGTCTCATGGGAGTCCACAAGAAGTTCCACATCCAGGGTCCCGGGAATTCTGGGTGCTGTCTTGGGATCTTGTAATTGACAGGTTCCACTTGTTTTCCCAGCCAGCTTTTCTTACCTCCTGTATCACAACCCTTTAATCCCACCCCAAACTCTAATTCTTAAAACCCTCGATACCAAGCCTCTCTGGGACCATGAGGTCTTCTCACTAGCCCAGTCTCACTCTATGAAGTGTACTTGCATTTGCAAAAAAAAAAAAAAAGAAATCTTTGTCCTTGTTGCTCCTTTTAGGTATCCTGCTCAATTCTTTGTTCAGGACATCAAGAAGCTGGACAAGACCTCTGATCCAGTAACAGTTGGACTTGCCTCAAGTCATGTGTTTAATACCTAACATCACAGAATTCAGTGGTCACAGATTCATGGTTTTCTAGAGGGCGAGTTTCTAAGTCCATGGGCAAAGCATCTTCAGTTGTAATTCAATAGTCCATCGTCATTGCAGACACCCAATCAGATCAGATATAGCCTATTTCAAAGTGCCTTATAATTTGTGAGGTCTCATACAGCGGTGCTGATGCCATTTTATTTTATATTTTAGAAGAGACCCACTGGGTTGAGGTAGATTTCATGTTCATGGC